TATAATATCATCTAATTTAAAATGTATTATCGACAACTATAAGAAAAATAGTACACCACATTATTTATAATACAAAAATTAATAAATAAAATAAAAGATTTGGTTATCAATGTAGAAATTATTAGAATGCGTACCAATTTTCTTTAATTTTTTAGGTTTCTAGAATAAATTAGTGGAATAGATTGTTAGTAGAAAGAGAGAGATTTTCAAATGGCCTCATTGTATGAATCCTATCTTTAAATTAATACTACTAAATTTATGTTAAAGACCATCTTGTTATAAAAATAAAAAATATAATTAGACCATTTATTCCTAAGTTGTATGAAGAAATACCTTTTATTTTTCTGACAAGAAATACTTATTGTGTTATCTTTTTTTTTTTTTGCAAGAAAAATATGATACTTGTGGATTATCCTTGTTTTTTTTTTTTGACAAAAGAAGAAGATGTTGTACTATATTTTATTTTACTCGTTGTATTACTTTTTATTTTTTTTTACAAGAAAAATAAAAAAATGATGCTGCCAAAGTACATTTTTTTTTTTTATGTTTTTTTGTTTTTACCTTGTATTTTTTTTACAAGAAAAATAAAAAAATGTTGTATTATCGTTTTTATCTTTATCTTAAAAAGCCTTTTATTTTTTATTTTTTCTATTTTTTTACAACAGCATTTTTTGCCTTTGTTTATTTTTTTTACAACAAATTGTATTTTTTTTACAAGAAAAATAAAAAAGTGTTGTATTATCTTTATCTTGAAAAGCCTTTTATTATATATTTTTTCTATTTTTTTACAACAGTATTTTCTGCCTTTGTTTATTTTTTTGACAGCAAAATTGTTTTTGTATTTTTTGGTTGTGCGCTAAGGAAGAAAAATTTGTTATGCGCTAAGGGGTTCGAACTCAAGACATACACCCAAAATTCGATGTTGTCAACCAACATGACCACGTCACCACATGTGATTCTTTTAGCTTCCATAATAATATATATTCAATGATATTGCTTTAATGACTTTTTGTGGGAATTATCCCACATCGAAGGATGAGTGTTGCTTGGTTCTCTATAAAGTCTTGCGTATTAGACTTTCTGTTGCGCCTGTAGAAACGTAAACCCAAAAAAATATCGGTTTTTTCTGTGAGACTTGCGATTCACTATTCGGAATCCCCCGGTTCTCTCTGGATACGGCCGATTCTCGGTTTTTTCGTGGAACCGGCTCGGAAGCAGGCGATTCCCGAATCGTACCGGGCGAGTCCGGCTCAACTCGACGAGTTTTCAAACACTGGATATAACATATTTATTGGCTAAAAGGGTAGTGGCTTTGGTTTATTGGCTAAAAGGGTAGTGGCTTTGGATTCTTTAGTGGTCTCTGATGATTTAAATTCCCTTATGTACTTTGCAATTGTTCTTAATAAATTACAGAATTTCGTCAAAAAAAAAAGAAAGTAAAATGCTCAGTATTTATAGAAATTTTTATAAATTCATATTTAAAAACTAGAAATCAGTTGTAAACTCTTGAACCATACATCTATGCACACAAAATTAAAATTCCTTAGAAATGTTAAAAATAAATTACTGCTAAAACATGAAAACTTAATTATAAAAATTATTTGAAGCTTTATATTTTGAATTCTTTCTAAAACAATATCAAAATCATTCATGGATACAGTTTCCAAGCATTACAAGAAATCATGAAAAGGTAGAGATGGAAAATAAAATTGATATAATTTTTGAAATTTTTTAAAATGCATAATTAGAAACTAAAAATTAGCCTTAAACTTTGTTTTTTTTTGCGTGATTCGGTGGGGAAGACAGATCCCTACTCATTTTCTCATACTGATTAGGATTTTAGGATTTTTGAAGGTGTCAGTGGGTGATTAGAATCCACAATGTGGTAAGTAGGTATGAGGGTGCTACCACCATGACCCAGCTTTCCTAATAAGCCTTAAACTTGTTTTAAGCATAAAACTTTATGTACTTAAATTTATACGTTCATTAAAAATTGGAAAAATGAAATGGAGCTGGTTTATGTTTCTTTAGTCACGGCAAAATTGTAAGCAAAATAGTAAATCAGTCATAAGTATTTTTAGAGCACAAAAACTTTTAAATTTAAATTGATGTAGATAAAGAAAAACTCACTATGCATGTATGCCGCAGTTCTATTTTCATCAATAAAAATGGATAAGATTGTAATAGATCACTTTAAGAAGCATGAGAACAAAAATATGGTTCTTTCAAGATGATTGTGAAATTCTAATGACAAAAAAAATAAATACTGAAGGCCCTTTCAAAATTAAAAATAAAAAAATAAATTGCTGTTGGAAGCTCAACTCTTATAGTGTTGTAATGAATGTAACATATTTTAGTTTAAATGTTTAAAATTTTGTAATAAAAAGCTCTAGTATATTTAAAATTCTTGAAATTAGTTATAAGCAGTCTCAAATATACGAATATAATAAAAAATTCATAAAAATTATTTATTTTTCAAAAGTAAATATCTCTTTCCCTTCAGAATAAGCTTTCCATAAAAATACTCTTTTTATTTCCAATTTCTATCTCGCAGTTTACATGTCCCTTGAATATAGGGATTTCACGTCCCTTCATAATTGGCTTTCCCTATAAATACTGCCATTTCTAATTTCTCTTTCACGGTCTACATATCCCTTGGGATTTCACGTCATTTCTATATCTTTAAATGTCTTTCACAAGAACACCATAAACATTATAATATACATAGAGATATTGATAGAAAGTCCTAATAACTAATAAAAATAGGGAATATATCGAGATTAAGAGATTAATCTATTCAGGAACAAACACCCCAACTCTAGGACTCCTCCCCCTATCTTTTCAGCTATTATAGGCCCCTTTATTCTTTTCAGCTATTATAGGCCCCTTTATTCTTGTAATGTGTGTAATAAATCAATTCATTTTACCAGCACGAGGAGCATTCAATTTAATTCTCATTGCATAGTCTCTCAGGTGGAAATATGGAGATCTTTCGGATTCCCCCTTAAGACATATTGGTCGGCCTTGGTTTTTCGGCATCTCGCGGCAGCGAGAAATAACCCTTTCTTAAAACCATAGTGCTTTATAGGATAAAGAGAAGAAAAAGCGTACGTGTGAGGGTGACCCCAATGCGCTGCTAGGAAAAGGGCCGGGTGGCGTTGTGTGTGCAGTTCAAACCACCAAAAGAAAGTGGTGTGAGGTAAGGCTTATCTCATTTAGTGGGGTCGGGATACACCCGAACATAGATCCCTCTTAGATCACTTTGGAAAGCCCCTGGCTGTTAATTCAGATTGATTCCGGCTCCCTTGTCCTTACACTTTGCTTTCATGAACGCACTTTTAGATGACCTGGGGTGATGACCCTTTGTTTGTCTTTGTGAGAGTTTGAGAGTTGTGAGATTGGATTTGAGGGGCCCTGAGAGAGCTTAAGGGTTTTAAGGGAGAGAGCTTAAGGGTTTTAAGGGTTTAAGAAGGCTTGAGACGACTAAAGAATTGGAGGGTTTAAAAGGGCTCGAATTAAGAAGTCAAGAAGGGAAAGAAACCGCTCCTTAAAATTTGCTAGCCTTCCCGCGTCATCTACACTAGAAGGTAATATCAGCGATAAAATAAAAGTACTAAACACGAGGCCTAGATACTCCGAAGGCTAGTCAGGGGGTTTACCCCACGAAGGGGAATTAAACCAAGAGTAAGCCTCCTTAAGGAGTGGTGGATGAAGTAAGAAGAGAAAAAAGAGAGAGGGAACCACTCGATAATCTCAAAGAGTATTCTGGTGTAGCCTCCCCTAGAAGGCTATGACGGAGACTTGAGAAAGGCGCTATAAGCAAAAAGATGACTTTATGTTGTCATGTCTTGAAATTCAGCCTGTTAAAGCACTCAAGGCTCATGAAATCATAGTTCATGACTTCCAAGAAAGTCATGGCAATCTCAGTTCTTTCACCACCTTAAATTGTTGAAAAATGTTTGGGTGAAAAGGGGTAAAAAGGAAGTACAATTTCAAAAAATTATAGCTCAATCCCTTCTTGTTTTTGGGCATGCAGGAGTGCTTCTCAAGATGACATTTGCCCTCTTCGATACTATATTTGATGTACATAAGAATGACAATTCGTCCACGATGTAAAGGAAAATAGAAAAGTCCCTTTTGATGTTCCAAAACTCTATGCACCCGAGCTTAGAATACACACTTGACACCATAGCCTTGATGTTTTACGGATAGAAAAGAGACAAAACCGAGTAGAGAGAGAGTTTGAGTTCACAAATATGCTCCAAAGAAAGGTGTTGCAAGTATTTGTAAAGAGACTCGAAAGCCTAAAAATAGAAGTAGTTACTTGCCCACCAACAACTATAAGTTACATGTACTTTCTCATTTAGTATTACAACCAAATAGCTACAAGTTATATGCACTTAATGGATTACATGCACTTTGTCATTTAGTGTTACAACCAAATAGTTACAAGTTCCATGCACTTACCGAATGTTGTTACTAGCCTGCCTGTGCGTCATCAAGGGCCTTTGAGCCCTTGCACATGCGCATCAAACGCACGCTGCTCCATCTCTCTCACCTTTGTACGAAGAGTATAAGGCATAAGAATGCCTACTCTTAAATACTGCTCAAATAACTCTTTTTTGTTCAATGTGGGATAAAAACCCACAGCTTCATCTCTCTATAAAAACCAACTTAGAAAAACCACAAAACCATATTGTTGTTTTGAAATACACAGGTATTTTTCAAACCAAAAATACGAACAATTGACAGAGTAGACTGATTTCAATTAGGTACATGTACAAATAAATTCTTGAGAAAGCATATGGCCACATTCTAAATAATTTACAACTATTTACAGCACAATTATCTAGGGCTTTAAAGAGAAACCCAGAGTGTCCATACATACTCGATTTTCAGGGAATTTTCATTAGAATTAACAACAAAATTAACTTCCCCTTGGTACACTTCAACTTCGATCAATGGCTCCTTATTCATTATGATCTTGATTCTCCACATTTTCTAAGATAGGCCTCTTCAGATTTGAATGTCGAAACCTCGATTTTACGAACTGGTTTGTTTCTAGACAGAATTAAGCTTCGACAGAAGTAAAAGGCATGAAGATGATAACAAAATGGAGGTACAAAAGTAAAGCAAGTCTAGAGGAGAGGTAATGGCCACTTTCTTACTCTTCTCAAACAACCCAATAAGGAGAATCATCACTATAACATGTCCAACCTTAGTCTTTAGTTCATTTATGGATTCAATCTCCAACCACTTTGGCCTTTCCTGCACAATGTATTTGGAGAGTAAGCGTTTAGACTTAGACCGAATACTACGTCTGGCTTGGAGATCAGCTAGACACAGTTGAGAAAATCGTTAGGATCATCCAATACCAGGATGACCGATACACGAAATTTTCGATACTGACCTGAAACTTTGAACCATGACACAAAATGGATGATTAAAGATAGAATTGGTAACTGAATGCTAATTACATAGTATTTCAAGTGTAGGGTAAACTTCCAAAAGTGCACCCAAATATTGATTTGAAATGAACCGCTGAAGGTTGCATTAAGCAAATGCTTGTCAGCTCAACTTTACTGTTAGTTGCTAAATTCAAAGACTGTCCAAAGTTTTTTTTTTTTGGTTGTTGTTTGTGAAGTGAAAATCATTAAATGAGCCTATAACCTTGAAGACTGAATAAGCTGTACGGTGGAGAAGAGTAAAAAAAACACAAAAAACAAATAAAGTTCTTCAGATGGACAAGAGTGAAAAACCTTAAGTTTGAATAAGCCGAATAAACTTGAGCTGCAATTCGCTGCTGAAGAAGCTCTTGAAACCTCGAGATTGCTAACAAAGAGTTCGTAGAGACCCATTCCAAAAATAAGCATTACCGTACCCAACAAATAGACATCTGCAAATTAAAAACAAAACATAAAAAGGAGGGAAAAAAAAATCAGCTATGACATTTAAATGGAGATCATATACAAGGATACGCGTGAGACATTCAGCTTTGTAAATTACGTAAAAAATAAAATTGGGCACTTTTCTCACCCTAATTTTTCTATTCCTATGCAAAAACACTAGGGAAAAGTGCCCTTAATTTTCGTTAGACTACTTGTTCCCACAATTAAACAAAAACACTAGGGAAAAGTGCCCTTAATTTTCCTTAGACTACTTGTTCCCACAATTAAACAAAAATACTGGGGAAAAGTGCCCTTAATTTTCCTTAGACTACTTGTTCCCACAATTAAACAAAAACACTAGGGAAAAGTGCCCTTAATTTTCCTTAGACTACTTGTTCCCACAATTAAACAAAAACACTAGGGAAAAGTGCCCTCAATTTTCCTTAGACTACTTGTTCCCACAATTAAACAGAAAGGATGAGTAAAAACATATAGCTTCACAAGAAGTATTCATTTATATTTGAGTTTCACAAAGTGCATAATTTTTTGCATGGTCTATACTTTATATTACAGATGGTTTATCATGAAGGGACCAGCCATCAAAACCAGTCCAATAGCCAATCAAACCAGGTGGATTTGATTTCAAAACAATAAATTATAATTTAAATGTGATACATATTACCAAAACAAATTTGTCCAAGTCAAAAGTGGTAGCCTGACCTGCCAAAACTGATCCAATTAGTTTTGATTGGCTTTCGATCAAACTAAAATTTTACTTTAGACTAGACCAATCAAGGCATCAAGCAACAGTCTGTTCAATAAGACCATCTGATCCCATCTAATCTTAATAATTATAACCTTAAATGTGTCCTAAGAAACCTTAATTATCTGTCTTATGTGTATCACAATGATCCTTTTTTTAATGTATCGCCACAAACTCTAATCTCTCTCTGTTTCTTCCCCAGCCTCCACACACAAAACTGATCCTCCAAATTAATGGATTAAGGTAATAAGATGTATGTGTAAACCCGGATAACTTATCCTAAAGCGTAATATCCAATAGGACAATGTCCTTTAGTATCTTCAATGTATCTTGCAGGGTCATATCTTAAATTAATAAACACCAAAAAGAGAAGAAATGGGGGAAATAATGTAATGCTTCAACTCACCAATGGCTTCAACCAGCAACAAAATAACCTTTCCACTTCTTCCAATGAATTCCTTAAAAGAGCTGGCCACATAAGTGCTCCCCTGCATGCCATAAAACCAAGTGCCCCATAAACTTCAACCATGGGGTATCTGGTCTTCATATAAGGATCTTTAAAACAAAAATTATAATTTTAGGAATGTAATCATGTAAACATGTTGGTTCTAGGCCAGCTGACTGACCATTTTGCTGCCCTAACCGGTTTGGCTACCCTACCCGAGGTTGGGTCCACTTCCGGTCAGGTCCACAATACACATGAAAAAAATTCCCAAACCCTTTCCAATCTTCCTTGAAAAAACAAAAAAAAAGCATATCAAATGATAGGATAAGGAAAGATATTCATTTAGAATTATCGAGGAAATCATAATGAGGAGTATGTGCTCTGATTATGTATTCTCAGTTATTCACCCCAAAAATAAAAATAAAAATTGTTTTTTCAGGTTTTTTATCTATAAATCAGTTTTTCTCTAGATTGATCTTATAGGTGAATAAAGACGATTTAACGGATTGGGTCCAACAATTCCCTTTAACATGGTGTTTTGCCCAACATATGAAGTGTACAATTTGATGTGGTTGGAGTATGAAATATTTTTTTCCAAAAAAATAAAAAATAATAATAAGAAAGACGACATCTAGGAAATTTCTAAAGATAATTTGTAACATAATAACTCCGTCTTGGCTGACCCTCTGGCAGTCATGTTGTCAACCTGGGTAAGGGATGAGGGTTGTATCAGGTACAACTATCGTAAAACTTTGTTGTAACTTTCTATAATCCACCCTAGATAAAGCAGAATGACTAGAACATGATTCATATAGTCGATCCCAAATAGTTTGGATAAGGCTCTTGTGATAATGAATTTGGAACACAATAATAGCACTCCACCATAACATAAACTAAATAATTTGACCATTACCTTGATGAAACATAATAAAGATCCGCACAATGAACCAAACACACCAAAAAGTGTCAAGAACCTGCACCGATAAATGACCTGAAAGTACAAGAAATGGTTATATAAGGTATTTGAGATGCTATGAAATTGTTGGAATAGGCTTGTTTTGTTTGGTCACTAAACTTGTTTAGTTCTACTATTGTTATACACTAGTGCATGAACAATTCGGCAAGATGTTTGGCCACGCCCATTAAGTAACTCGTTTTCTTTGAAAACCACCACAAATAAGGCCCCTAAATCCATTTAAGCTCACTACAATGATTGATTTGTTTTCTCTTCAAACTCTTTTAATGTTAGTCATAATACACCTGCTTAGTGATTCCAAACTCAACCATCAGTATCAAAGAAAATATCCTACTCACAACTATGTTGTCGTCATCGTACCACAATTGGTACTGAGGGTGTTCCTACTTACTAAACTTTATGGTAACAGGGTAAAACATGTTATTTTCATATTCTAGTAACTTCATCTGACCTTTTAGCCTAGAAATAAGGGAAATCTACAAAATGTTTAACAAATATGATGAAGTTTTACCTTTGGAAAGATGCAAACTATTTTTATCAAATCTCTCTCTCGAGAATGGGGCTGGGGTCGTGATGGTGGCATCACTTGTGCCTCAGCTAAAGTGTAAGTTTCTATTCTTACCTAACGCATTAAAAACCACTAACGATTTCAAAAAAAAAAAATAGATACAATGTATTACTCAAAAAAAAAAAATCTCTTTCCCTTTCTCTTGTGAGAAGATGAAAGTATTTTTTCAAATCTCTCTCTCTCAAATATATTGTACCTTATGTGCACCGGAGTTTATGCGTTAGTGTGTGCATGCCCTGTGCATATGCAAGCACCCACCCTATGTGCACCAGAGTTTATGCATTAGTGTGGGTGTTCGTGCTTGAAAGTGAGAGAGAGAGGGATCTATATGTGTGTGCCTTATATGTTCATGCCAGAGAGAGAGAGGGACAGAGAGATTGGGAATCTTTATGGCGATTTTGGTTCGCGTGAAAATATTTTCTAGAAAATGTTTTTATGTGAAAAAAATCTCTTATGTAGTTTGGTGTGGGAATATTTTCATTTCAATTGGTCTTAGTGCATCTTTTTACACAAATTAGCAACGAATTGATGTCTAAATATTCCTACATTTAACCACATATCTAAATATTCCTACACTTAACCACATGTGAAAATATTTTCTGAAAAAGATTTTCGTGCGAACCAAATGTACAAGAGAATGCAGTTTCATTATTTTTCAAAAACAAAAAATTGCATTTTCATTAACTTTTGAGATACAATCAAAAGAAACAAAGCAAAGCTAAAACGAATTGCATTTCACACAAAGGGGGATGTTGCTTAGGGTATTAATTAGTAATTAGCAAACATTTATATAAGGTGTCAACTTTATAGTGTAGAAATAAGGTACACATAAAAAACTTACACAAAAATGTTATTTTGACATTGAAAAACTTTGTAATTGATCGTCTCAATATAAATGTCTATGCAAAAAAAAAAAAGGATTTTATGTCATAGAAATTATACATCGTGCAACACATTTTCAAAAAAAAATTAGTATTCATAGATCTGCTTGATCTATACTATTTTTAAAGTTTTAAATATTATAATTAGCTGTTAAAATATATTTTTAAAAAATATATGATGAGACTATTTTCCTTTGGTACACGATGGTCATAATTAAATTTGATCATTCCATATAAAATTGGATGGCTGCATTTATTTCATTGGCCACGCTCAAACTTCAAAAATAAATTTTATTAAACTTGGAGACACAACAACGATGGCTGCATTTATTTCATTGGCCACGCTCAAACTTCAAAAATAAATTTTATTAAACTTGGAGACACATCAACGCTATCAAACTTCACATCAAACGGTTATAAATAATTGGGACTTTCTTGTCTCAAAGTTAATTGGTCTCATTACATACAATCTCAATAGGTTTTTAGATCATCATGAGTGTTTCATGTACCCTTCTTTTAGCAAGATTTAAAAGTATACCTTATTTTGATTGTTTAAGGTTGAGACCTTATACAAATCACACCGTCAGAAATTTCCACAACTTTCAAGGCTAAGATATCTTGTTACTTATAAAAAAAAAATTATCCTTGTCCAATTTTATCTTTTGCATATGAAAGCTGTTAAAACCATAATAAAACATACAGAAATTTAAATGAAGAAGGCAAATAAAAGGAAAACTTACCTTCTCTATGAGCACTTCCAGGAGTGGATAATTTTCCGGCAATGAACTGGAAAAATCGGCCTTGTGTTGGGCCAAATCGAATGGCTCATTACGGGCATCTCTCTCAGTGTTATTCGAGTATTCCGATCTAGAGCTTGACCTTATCACGATCGAAAAACCATTTTCCGGCTTCCAAAATCTCCAAAACCTTTTAGCACTCGGATACCGTAATCTAAATTTGTAGTTCTACTGAAATAAGCTGGTGAAATAACACGGTTTCCAGTCAATATTCGAGGTTTCATAACTCCTAGATGGAGTCCTTTCTACTGAGAAACCAATAATCAGGAATTTTCACAAACATTTAGCGGGTAAATGAAGGAATTCCAAGCAAGAAATGAGTAAGGAATATTGGCAAGGTCCAGAAACTCTGTTGGTTGAAGTTGGGATTGAAAAGCTAACATAAGGGCCACTCTCATAGAAACCCCCCTTCCCGCTCCGCAGGAGTTTACTGTGAATCTACTCCCTCACTGAAGATACTTATTTAGGAAATTTCTTCGGTTTAAAATTTGGAAAACGTTTATATACAGGCGAGGCTCTAAATAATCAAATTAGAGCTCAACTCCAACGTTTCACTAGAAGAAGTTGTTTTGATGCTCAAATATCCTCAAATTTATCATCTTGACATGGACATAAAAAAAAAAAAGGATTTCAAATTTTAAAAATAGTGCATTAATTTTCAAGTTTTCATAAATCTATTAGGTCTATATTATTTTTTAAACTTTAAATTTTATAATTGGAGATGAAAATATATTTTAAAGCTATCACAAAGATTTCCCGTATTGAAACTACATTTCTCGATACTATTTGAAGATGGGCTCTACTTTGATTGTTTACCGTCTCGGCTCTATATAAACCGCCCCCGTAATATTTTGGGAAAAGAATTATTAGGTGATGATTTTCGAAAGAAAAAATTTTGAATTTGGAGTTTTGTCTTACTGAAATCTGGCCCTTCAAAATTTCAACCGTCTCTATTCAACCTCTAGGCGTTACTAGTTTTCTAGAGCTTATTTCGGAACTTTGTAATTATCGATATGAAAAATTTATAAATTTCGAGTCTTATAAATAACCTAACTTGCACATTCTTCTTTAAATATTTAAAACCGACTAGATTTGCATAGTTTCAAATTTCGTTGTAGAAGCAAAAATATCGACGCTTTATTGCTTTTTTACCTTAAACCTGGATCTTACGTGCACCGTCGATATTTTTCAGTTTGAAGTTAATATATTTTGGTGGAAAAAGCAAGGCCTCATCATTTGATATTTCCTGGTCTAAAGATGGGGATGTTAGTTTGCCACGTGTTCGGCGATCGCTAATTGTAAATCCAATCCCATTACTTCAACAAAGAGCACAGAGTAGAGGAAGGCACTTGAAAGGCCACTGGAAAGCAGTGATGTTACCTCAATGGAAAATGGTTTGATAGGGCCGCTGCCCTATCAAAATAAGCAACGCTTCATCTCATGACTCCTAAAAAAATTACCCTTTTAAGTGTAAGGTTTCAACCTTAAACAATCCATTTAGGGCGCACCTTCAAATTCTATCATAACATATAATTTTGATGTAACATATTCTTAACATCATCTCAAAATCTATTTTTAAATCTAATATAAAATTTTAAATTTCAAAAATAATTAAAATCAAGTTGATCTATAAACAAATGAAAATCTTGAAAATAGACGGTCTAGATAATATGTTGTAAGATGCACCTGGGGCTGAAAATCCTTTTTTTCTTTCATAGTCATACATCTCGATGTCGAGATGATCAATTATAAGGTTTTTCAAGATTAAAACAGCCTTTACCAATAGATTTTTTAGGTGCATCCGTAGTTCTACATTTTAAGGTTGCAACCTTATATAAACTTTTCCCATCTTTAAATGGATCATCTCAGCTTTAACATTATGGTTATTAAAAAAATAATAAGATTTCAAATTCTAAAAAATATTGTATATTGCAACAATTCATCTAGAATATCCATCTTGCCCTAAAAGTATTATTCTAAGATAGAAAAGCACCTCAGATATCCACAAGATCTGTAAAAAAAAAAGATTTTGTTTTTTAATTTTATTTTCGTGGTCGAAAATTGATTTTAGAACCATGGAGGTTTTTTATGTCGAAAGTGCTCTCTAGATGAGGATTTGAGTTGAGGCTTTATTTTGCTTTCCATAAAGCCTAGGCCCTATAAAACCTTCATCCTCAAGTGGAGCATATCGACGCAGTGGTTGCAGTGTTTTAAAAGCCGTTGATTTCTAATTTAGGTTGCGATTAAATGGTTTTTGAAATAGGTAGCCCACTTCATCCCAAAAATCGTTCTTACATACATTTATACGGGAGTGATTTCATGCAACGGTTGTATTATAATATCAAAAAACAATCTTCAAAAATCATGTTATGGGCATTTGTTTGACCTCTTTAATACATACTCTTTTCACTCTTATAAACAATCACAAAAGATGAAATTTTGAAAATACCTTGTAGAAAATATATTTATTTACCCCAATTAATACAGGTCATCCATTTTGGTGAGATGCTTGTATCTAAGCCTTAAAATGATTTATTTCCTTTCCAAAAAATTTGATGACTTTTTTTACTATTAGATGAACAATGATTGAAAAAAAAAAAAAGTTGATTTTGCGTTCGTAAAGGCCTGGATCTTAAAATTCACCATGTGGATGGTCTAGATTCATTGTTGGAAGGGACTCATTTTGAGCATATCTAGGGTGTAAGTTAAATTTTTCGTTTTTAATTATTGATTATTAGGATGAAGTGAGGGTGCATGCAATTTTTTGGATCATACAAATGCTACAAACATAGTTTTCTAGAAGTGTAGTTGATTATATAACAATGATAAAAAATTATTCCTTTTATATATATATATATATATATAGAGAGAGAGAGAGAGAGAGGAGAGAGAGAGAGAGAGAGAGAGAGAGAGAGTATTAC